CGGGGCGGCGGGGCCGGCCGGGCCCTTCCTTCTTCCCTCCCCTGGCCCGGCGGGCGGTGTCGGGTCCGAGAGTCGCGCAGCGAGCGGCCCTGCGCCGAGGGCCTCGCCGAGCCGGTTGCCAGACGCCGAGCGCTGGTGTGTGGTGCGGCGGGCGGTGACCCGGCGGCCGGGCTGAGACGGTGCCTGGCTGAGCACTGAAGTGTCCCCGAGCCCTCTCGTAATGGCCGTGCAGAAGTCCGGCTTATAGGACCGTGCTCCGCTAAATAACGCTGGTGATTTCGAGGCGTAAGGGTCAGGATGGAGTAGCACGTCGCATGCAGCGAGGGATGCTTTGTACGCGCTCCCTTGGTTCTTCTTTCCTTGGATGGGGAGCAGACTTCGAGAAGCAAGTCCTAAGCAGTGTCTCCTTTTCCAGAAAATAACTGCGGTGATGCTACTTGCGGTGTTTTTTCCTATATGTCAGTACTTGCTCCTGTGAAGCATCTCTTGGAGCTGACTGACGCTTGTTATCTAAGCGGCAAGTTATAAAACGGGTAGGAAGAAAAAGTCTGTGGCCTGAAGGGCCTAAAAGTGAGGAAAATAAGATCATAAATTCTTAGAAGTTAAAAGTGAGATGAGATTTTTAAGTGGAAAGACGTGCCTCTTAATAGAGGAAATAATTGGTTTGGAAAAGCAGAGACTCTAGTGGGTGTACACACCCTCCTTCAGGAACCCTCTGTCTGTCAGCTTTGTTCTTAGTGCTGGTCCCAGAGCATCGTCATTGTTAGTAAATACAGGCTTGAAGGTAGCTGCTACAAAAGAGAAGAAATGCCCGCTCCAGACAGGAGGTGAGCAGCGAGTTCAGGAAGCGGTGTAAATGCTGGCATGGAAATGTACGGTTAAAGAAATTAAGATAATGATGAAGCACTGTTGAGGTATGACAGTTGTCGAGGGCTTTCTCGCTGGTAACTTTTTTGTTGTGTTTGCAAAAATGATGAAACGGCTTCTTTTCTTGCAACTTAAGTATAATATTAAAGCCTTATCATCAGAAGACTTGAATGATGCAGACCCTTATTTTTTAAGGTATAATATACTCCTGGCCCTCTGGGACTTTATGATGTCCAGTTAAGGTCTAAGAGTACATCCGCATGGACCTGTTGCAGAATCAGGATATGAATTTGTATTCTGTGTGTCTCAGAGACTAGAAGCCTTCAATTATTAATCAGGATTATTGCAGCTCCCTATTTTCTTGTGGCGCTTTCTTATGATGTCAGTGAGGGAAGTGGTCACATTTACAGAACTAGCATTTAATATTTCCTGTCATGAAATCACTGCAAGGATTGTATACAAGCAATTGAAGCCAGTGATTTTTCAAGAATCTTTGATGGTACCCTAAGCAGATGCTTGTGAAAAAGGCGAATCATATATGATTCTTCTTTTACCTCGTCCAACTCAGTAAGCATCAACTCAGCCTGCAACAAAGTGCAGCCCAGGAACTTTCTGGAACAGATGTACTGAAGACTTGAAGTTCCACAGTGGATTTCTTCTCTACCAACTAATCCTTGCCTTCAACCCATGTGGAGCTCTAGTGTTCTCAATATCCAGCCTCAAGTGGTTCTGTGGGTCAAATACCCACTAACTCAGGAGGCACCTCTTGGTTTTGAACACGCTTTCTGCTACTTCTGTTTGATATTTCCTCATTTTTAAATTAGAAGAGAACACTGATGGCTTATTACCTATTTATCTGCTTTGTGTGATTCACAAAGGCAATTACAATAAATTGTATAAGGGTAATGGTAAAACAAAATTTCCAGTATGACTGCCAAGCCAAAGAACTTAACAGTAAATTTGACAAGATTTACTCTAAAGCTTCCTCATAGCACTGATCTTACTGGGGTTTTTCGTATTGATAGCTTTGATTTCCTTTAAATTACATTTTTTCTATTAGTGTGATTTATTATCATGTGGGCACCTTGTCTGCAAAAAGGGGGTGGTCCTCATTTTGAATAATGTCTAGGTTATATTTACCAAGTACTTGGAGCAGAATTTCAGTGTTTAAGCTTCAGTGGTGTTGTGCATGCATTTGTGCAGCCAACATGCATGCCGGATATGAAGGACAGGTAGTTCTTGTGTATTTAAATGGGGCATGCTCTTAACAGTGGTATAACTATGTTTTTTCTGCTCTTGACAAACCACTGTGTAATACTGTGAATTTTCAGTAAAGTCCTTGACTAAATTTGATTCCAGCCTACACTTTGAATTATAATACTTAGATGTCCAGTAAGGTTTGTAAACAGGTTAACTGGGGGAAGTCAGTCATTCTGATAAAAGAATATTCATAATAGGAAACAAATGTGTAGTATGAAAGGTCTGAACTTAACAGAGTCTTAAGCTTGAAACAAATCTGGGATTTCACACCAAAATACTAGCTTGAGTAGATAGTCGACTAGTAAAATGAATGAGAGAACTGCTTATTTACCTAGCTAGGATTGCACAACCACCTAATGCAGCTGTGCATTGTGTGGTAAGTGCCTTGTTACCATATGTTAGGTAGTCCTGATGTGTCAGAACAATGTCTAACCAGAGATGCTGCAACTCCAAGTATAGCAGGATTTTTTTCCTCAGTATTCTCCCTTCCTCCTCATGCTGCTAGTAACCATGCTGTTCTTTTGGTTCTCTTCTTTTTCTGCCTCATCTCCTGCTTCTGTTTAGATCCTGTTCCTGTTGTCCTTTGTTTAGACAGGTCCTTTACTCAAGTTTCTCATTTAAAAAAAAAGTAACTGATACAAACTTTTTGTGGAAATCTGACCCCCCAAATTTTACCTCCCAAAAGAAATTATAGCACTAACTAAATGTTAGTACTAACTAAAATGGGTATCAGGTGATAACTGGATTATTATTTGCACCTGGGATGAACACAGGCTTTGTTTAGGTATTTGTACCTAGTTATGTGTTGTCGGGGTTTGGCAGGATTATTTTGATGGGAGGAGCTGGGTCCCTTTGCAAAATAGTGATACTTCAAGGGTTACTCTCGATTTGAGGAACAAGCTAGCAGTGTTTCCAGCATGGTGAATTGACTTGGATCCTCTTGTTACTAGAACTGTAGGCCTGTATGTCAGAGCACTGGCATGTGCAGGCCTTCCTGCAGCACTGGTTCTGGGAGAAACTTTTTGGCTAATGCACCACTTTCTCTAGCCTGACTGTTCAACTCCCTGTCTCATCCACCTAATCAGCAGAATGGTGAACATCACCATTGCTTCTTATTGGGAAGGACTTGGACGCCAGGCCTCATGTTAATAGTATAGACAATTATATTACTGTAGTGACTCAGAAAGGGATCTAATGCTATCTGATATTATTCTTTGTAGTCTCTCCTTTATGTCTCCTGTTCATTGATTCTCCTGTTTGATTTCCCTTGTCATTTGCACAGAGCTGCGTACAGCCTATTTGTTTTCATGTCTCTGCTCGCAGTGCCTTCCTAGCCTGTTTAGGTTAGTGAATGAGTATCAGAATGTACAGCTGCTGCAGTAACCATAAGAAGGAGGTGGTAAGCAGCAAACACAGGTTGAGAGATTACTGGAGAATTTTGTTGTGACTAGTAAGTTGGTCCACTGTAAGTAGACAGTATTTTGACTGATTCTTTTATGTCCTTGTTAGAAAGCAAGAAAACCATCAGTAGCTGGAGAGCTAAGTTGAAGGTGAGATAAACAGTTGATGTAAGAACACATGTAAGTTGAAATAATAAAATGAGAAGAAAAGAAAAAAAGTGTTTTGAATTCAGAGCATATGTTAGGCTAAGGAAGAACAACTAACATGGAAATATGGAAGAAACATAAAGAAATAAGGGATAGTTCTATAGGGAGATTCATGCTGAACAGCACAGCAAAGGATGGGGGAAGCCAAATGAAGGACAGCTTGATGCTAATAGGATTGGTTTAATTTTTTTTTATTTTATTTGATATCTGCTTCTTGCTAGTATTCATTATGGTCTTTGAGCTTTGCCTTACATAACAAGAATAAAGAAAGAATAGTGCTCTCCATTGAGTAGTGAATCTTATCCTGATAGAAGGTGGAAAAGGAGTTGTTTAATAAAAGATGAAATAGCAATTGCTTTTTACTGCTTTTGGCTGTCATTACTGCTGCTGAAAGATGGAAGTTTCTTCAAATGCTTAACTTCTGGGTGCTGTCGTTTGAATGCATATATAGGTTACCATTACTTTAAATTCTTGCATTTTTGTGTTTTGTTAACTGTTGTCCAGATTACCTGTGTGACTTGAATGGCTGTGCAACAGAAATGTCGGACTTGGTTGTTGGTTTTTTTTTTTTATGTAGGAGAAAAAATAAGAGTATAGAACATACTGTTGCAGAGCCAAATAGTTCTTTGACTTTTTTTCTTTTGAAAAGGTGCAAAGTTCTTGTTTTCCCTAGAGATAGTAGGAATCAAATGGCAAAGAAGCATCATCTTTGTTTAGCGAGCAAGCATTTTTTCCAAACCCCTTAGCCCTCAAACAAACCTGTTTGCATGTGCATGTTTTCTCTTAATACCGTTTTCAGTTTCTTCTCGTGCATGTGTCCTTGATTATCTGTTCTTTCACTTTTTTGTAGTATATTCTGCTACTTCTCTCTCTCCTATTGAAGCAATACCCTGTGAAAGGCCGTGTCAACTCTTCTCCCACATAATTCACATACCTGTTCAATTTTGAACGTGCTTCGTTTTGGGTGGTGATATGTGCTGAAGTTTGAAGGCCACTAATGTTTCTTTTCTCTGTATCCAAACATAAGCATGATGGGTTCTTGTTCATGAAGCATAACATTCCCACCTCTAACTTCAGCAAGATTTTAACCCAGTCTGTAATCATGGTGTTATATTTCAGTTTTGCCCAGTGGCTCCCAAAATACTGATGTT